AAAAAAAAAAAAAATTCACACTTCCATTTCACCTCTCCTACAGAACTATATACTATGTTTGAAATTCTCATACTGAGTACCCTATTGTATTTCTCTATTAAAATTTGTTTCTTACACTGTTAACTCTGAAGCTCTAAGAGTTAAAAACATTTCTTCTGGATTTGGTAATTATTACAGTTGTTATTAGTACATAATTGATCGAAACATAAGTATTTGATAATAGTAAACATAAAAAGTAAATTTTATTATCAACACCAATTCAATTATTATTTCCTAATTCAATGGAACTATTAGGATTTATTGGAATTATTGTCCTAATTCAATGAATGGAGCAGGGAATAATTATTAGGAATTATTGTCCTAATTCAACGAATGTGGCAGGGTTTTTGTCCCCCAAATGAGTCTACATTTTTATGGATTAATGATTACAAGGTTATATAAATAAAACAGGGCTCACCAACAATCCTATTCTTATTTTGTTTTTTAAGGTTGGAAGAACCTTGTTCCTATAAAGATATAGAGATGACATGAGGAATGTTCAAGTCTTTGAACTCCTTTCCCAGTGCTTGATAAACATTACATTCCAGCCAGTGTTTCCCTTGGATGGTAGGGGAGGGGAAGGGACGGCTAGAGAGCTTGAAGAAGCATGGGTCATGCTCTACTGCTTAACCTAGTAGTGGGTACAGAAGGATGTGTTGTATTGTTTTTCACTCTACCCGAGACATAATGCATAAATAACTTTTTACATATAATCAGTACATTTCAAAATAAGAGAGAGGAAAGAAACACCATGACAAACATATGAAAGGTAAGCAGTAGTTATCCTTCCACTAAGCTAAGTAAGGCTTACGGGTAAATTTTTAAAGGGATGTCTATTTTGCTCCTTTTTCCTACAATGTGCTATTAACACCTGGCAGACAGCTCTGGATTTCAGATTTTTAGGTAGGCTTCTTTTAGGGCAGACACCATATCTTCCCTCAAGGCCTATTACTCGGACACTTGATCAGATGCATTTATTTCTTACAGTGGGCAAGGAGGGCTGGGGCAGGGGAGACGGTGCCATCTGGAAGAGAGTGGTTAGGGGAGACTTCACTGACATGACACTTGGTGTCTGTCAAGGAAATGACAGAGCAGGTCATGCAGATATCTGTGAGAGGGTGTTCTC